TTTTGCTATTTTTTATTATTTTATTATTATTTTATGTGAGTGGCATTTTTTAAAGATGACATCTAGTAAACTTTTGTGAAGTTCATGCTCAATACAAGAAACAACTACTTTGCCAATGGGGTTAGAAAAAACTTATATATATATATATAATATATACAATTATATATAAAATATTATGTTAAAATATTAAGTACATTGGATATATTATCTTAAAACATCTCTCATTTTATAATTTTTTTTGATTGGCAAATACATTTATTTTGACAGTTTTTTTCCCCAGGGAAAAATGTAGATTATATGCATAAATTATATGCATAGATTATAATAAATGATGCATAAATAGACTATTAAATATATTTATATTTATGTTAAAAATGTGTGTGTGTGTGTGTGTGTATAAATATATATACTGTATATATATATATATATATATACGTATATATTTAATTTAAATGCTATAAATGTATGTATGTGTGTGTTTTTCAGGGTGAGGTGGAGTTTGCCCGGATCATGATGCTGGTTGATCCAAACACTTCAGGTGTTGTGTCATTCCAGTCTTTCATTGACTTCATGACAAGAGAGACAGCGGACACAGACACAGCTGAACAGGTCATCGCTTCCTTCAGGATCCTCGCTGCAGACAAGGTGTGTGTGTGTGTTGTTTAACTTTACTTTATCGATTTTCTTCAGAAAAGTTTTGCCTGAAAAATTCTTTCCATATTCCTTAGCTGTTGTTAATTATAATAAATGATGCATAAATAGACTATTAAATATATTTAATTTAAATGCTATAAATGTATGTATGTGTGTGTTTTTCAGGGTGAGGTGGAGTTTGCCCGGATCATGATGCTGGTTGATCCAAACACTTCAGGTGTTGTGTCATTCCAGTCTTTCATTGACTTCATGACAAGAGAGACAGCGGACACAGACACAGCTGAACAGGTCATCGCTTCCTTCAGGATCCTCGCTGCAGACAAGGTGTGTGTGTGTGTTGTTTAACTTTACTTTATCGATTTTCTTCAGAAAAGTTTTGCCTGAAAAATTCTTTCCATATTCCTTAGCTGTTGTTTATTGTGTCTTCTGTAGCCATATATTTTGGCAGATGAGTTGAGGCGAGAGCTTCCTCCAGACCAGGCAAAGCACTGCATCAGCAGGATGCCCCCATACACTGGCCCCGGAGCCCTGCCTGGAGCCCTGGACTACACTGCCTTCTCCACGGCCCTCTACGGAGAGAGTGACCTTTAACTCTCTCGACAGCTCTGACCTTTTTCAATCCCATCACACTTGTAAATCAAGTAAATTCTTTATTCATCAGCCTCAAGAAATGGAGGCATGGCAAATAAACAAAATGAGCACAACTTCAGTTTTTTAGTCTTAGTTGATGTATGTTGCTAGATGATTGATATGAAATGTTTAAGTCAACACATGTAATGCAGTCTGGAAATGAACAGAATGCAATTAAGAAAGTTAAAACAATTTGATCTGTAACGGTCCAAAGTAGTTGTGAATTTTAGATTCACTTTCTCATGAATTGTTGAGTCCATGGCATGGGACACTATTTTACTGTCTTTCATGTAGGCTATGTATAATAGAGAAAATTTACAAAGACTTTGTCACTTGAATTACAGCCAAATCAGTAAAGTTACACTTAATTCAGTACTTTTAAGTACATTATAGGTTTTCTTTGCATTTTACTCTGATCTTTTCCAATCGCACTTTTCCAGAATGAAATCTATTTTGTGTGGTAGTGCTAAACCCACAGTATGTAAGATTTTGCACATTTGAATTATCTCCAAATGAGAAAGATTCACCTAACCATTGTGCTTTTCTTGTTTTTCCTCTGGTACTGTAGTGTCCCTAGTTAAAAAAGCAACATGAATAGTAGCTCAACTCAATTCTCCACAACATAATCACCTAAAAACCTAACAGTGCATCATTTCATATACAGTAACAGTTTAAATAAGGTAGGAAGAGGTGACTTTGTCATTCTCACTAGTGAGTCAGATAATTAAGAGCACCATTGGCTGATTTGGTTGTACATGACATTTTGAATATTGCGAATGCTTGGAACATTTTCTGAAGTTTGGTGATTACATGAAGTATCAATCTATGTACTACTACAGGGCTTGTCACATAAAGAAAGCAAAAACAGAAATTATGATATAATACTAAATTTACAGTTGTGGGTAAAAGTACTGTATGTGAACCCTTTGGAACGACAGACAAACACTGCCTGGTTAACACACCATTGTCTGTATTAAACACAGCATGCAAACCATTCACAGTGAAGAGTGAAAAAGTATGTGAATCCCAGAATATCTATCAAGCTTTCACGAATACAGCAAATTTCTCACTAAAAAGTCACACTAGTTCAGTGTACAATGACAGTGCATTTGATTGATTTTTGGTCAATTTGTTAACATATCAAAATAGTTTCAAGGGGAGACACTGCAGGCAAAAACACTTTTTCTGCTGCTACTGCTGTCTGTCCACACTTTTTGTCAAGTTTGAGATTTTGGGCTTTTTGGTTTTTCATAAAGTGTTTTTTCAGACTAGTGGAAAGAAAACATCCAAAAGACACTGTTAGGTGTTTATTTTATAGCACTTTACCTATTTGTGTCAATAGATTTCCATTACAATACATATTTTTAAAGGCCGTTTTCTCAAAATGAGTTTTTTCTCCTACACTGAGCCGTAAATCTCCACTTCAGTAGCACTTACACACACCAAACTTTACATTTTTATTCCTGTCTATGTCCTGAAGGTTTTTACACAGGGATTTGTTCATATATAATTTGCTTGATTATATACAACATTTTATTCCCCCCAAAATTGTGAAAATATTGTGTTTTCTGTCCATTCTAAGCATTTTCTGAATTATGGAGTGACAAAAATGAGATAACCAAAATTCCCTCCGTGAAAACTTTTGACTCTAATATGTCAAAACAATTAAATGAGAATTTTGGAACTGACATCATCCAGTGTTTAGATTTTTCTATAGAAATGTATGCAAATTAGCGCATATTTCATTAAATAATGGCTCATTTGCATATTTAAACCTAACATTTTAGAAAACTTGTAATACATTTTTTTTTTGCAATTATCAACGTAATCAATCAGCTGGGTAAATAAGGCGATAACTATTAGTTATTTTTTTTACCCTATTCACCTGCAGTATCTCGCCATGAAAAAAGGTGATTTGTGAATGTTTGCTGTTGAATTCTATAAACAAGAAAGCCAAATGTGTGTTTTACAGTGACATAAATGAAATAAACCTCATGAAAAGGCCAAGTCTCTTGCTTTTTTATTTAATGTTTTATTGAAGTGTAATTAACATACCATTGGCCTAAAATATGTGTTTATGTATGCATAATAGAGTATTTTATATAAAATAGCATGTTTTACTTTTATAAAATACAAGTTTTTAGTAGTTTTTACTTGTATTATATATTGAAAGTAAATTCTTTTTTTTTTCTGCTTTTCTTTTCTTTTTCCTTGCTTGCTTGCTTTCTCCACTGTAACTTACCAAATATGGAAAAGCCCTTTCTTTCCCACTTTACCGTTATCAGATCTCAGCAGCATTATCTCATGATGGGTGGTATCGTGGTCTCTCTGTTCTGGGATGAGTTCAGCACCTGCGGCTGGGTGAGTGGAGCTCTTCAGTCTTCTGGTTCTTACACACAGGTCCCTCAACAAGACCAGATCCAAAGTCCAGCAACATAGTCACTGAACATGGATATAGGAGAAGCGGAAGATGAAATACAGTTGTGGCCTAAAATATGTGTTTATGTATGCATAATAGAGTATTTTATATAAAATAGCATGTTTTACTTTTATAAAATACAAGTTTTTAGTAGTTTTTACTTGTATTATATATTGAAAGTAAATTCTTTTTTTTTCTGCTTTTCTTTTCTTTTTCCTTGCTTGCTTGCTTTCTCCACTGTAACTTACCAAATATGGAAAAGCCCTTTCTTTCCCACTTTACCGTTATCAGATCTCAGCAGCATTATCTCATGATGGGTGGTATCGTGGTCTCTCTGTTCTGGGATGAGTTCAGCACCTGCGGCTGGGTGAGTGGAGCTCTTCAGTCTTCTGGTTCTTACACACAGGTCCCTCAACAAGACCAGATCCAAAGTCCAGCAACATAGTCACTGAACATGGATATAGGAGAAGCGGAAGATGAAATACAGTTTCTGCGAACTGTAAGTAAAATGGACTGCATTAAAATACAAATGTGAATGCAATGAATGATATCTTGACTATTTTTTTATGCTGAACTGCATTAACTTCAGACAAAAAAGGGCTGATTATTAAACTGCAATTATATTTGTTATGAGATTGATGTAATGAGATTCTTGGACATAAATATTAGATGCTAACAGATGGGTTACAAAAAAATATAAGTGAAACATTTTTGGCCATGCATATGGATGCACAGTCCAGCATACGTGAAATTTAGATCTGTACCACAGATATTAACAGTGTTATTTAGTAATTTCAAACTGTGAGAAATTGCTCATACTGTAACTGTGTATGTATCATTAATTGTTGGATCTATGGGTTTATATATGTGGTTTTATATGTATTTACAGTGTTTGAATTCACATTTGAGAGCGTTTGACCCATATCACTGGTGTCTATTTTTACTTTGTGTTATCAGTAACAGAGGAACTGGAGAGTCTGTTGAATGTGTGAGCTATTCACTCTCAGCTCCATATCTCTAAAACACAGATAAATGGGATACTGTGCTCTCTCTTTCTCACACACATACAGTACACATTTCCACTGATTCACTGTATGTATTTTAGCACATGCGTTTGTAACAGTATCATGCTGGAAATCATTAATTATTTGACGTTGTGTTAAAGCTAGGCTTTAAAAGTGACATGAATGGTTGAATATGTGTGGTTGTGTCTGTGAGACCCACTGGTCAGTGAAACTCATATGACAAGCTGGAGGTGTTGGAATTCTCTATTCACTGACTGATAAGTCAGTCCTAAGTATTCAGTCCTTATAAGGCTACACTGCACTAATGACACAGAATCACTTCTATTGTCCACACTGTAAGAGAAGCAATTACACTTTATGGGGCTTTTCAAATCACAAATATATATTAAAAATGTTGCATTATTTAGTCAATGAATTAATTACATTAAAACATGGTAGACCAACAGTCAAAACAATTTAATATTATTTTACTTTTTTGTTCATTGTTGCTATCATTGAGGTTTGCGTGTTCAGTTTTGAGGTGTATGTGCTTTTATACAAACCTTTTGAATGTAATGCCTTTGCACCATGTTACATTTGATTGAATACTTGTTAATTTTGCCTTGACAGTGATTTATTGGCAGAATATGATATTTTACATTTAACAAATGAACATTAGCAGAGTAGTGTTACTAAGGTCAATTATCAAATCTCAATGTGTCATATTGCCTTGATTTTTTGCTAATTTTCTTTTTACAATTTGACATTTATTTAGCCCTATTTATTTATAGATTCTATTATATAGAGTTTATATAAAATATAATACAGTGGCAGAGCTCTTCGTTTTCCATTTGTTCCATTTGGTGCTGTGGAATTCCTACGGGCGCCATAATATGTCATTATAAGCATTCTTCCATTAAAAACCATAAGTTTCATTTATAATGTGTTTTTTTTTTATCAGATCTGATAGTAGTCCATATTCTTATTTCTGGTCTCAGCTGTAATGAGTTCAGATTTGTTGTAGCTGCGGTCTGTAATGAGAATGTGTTTTTCAGAGGGATGAGCTGGTATTGAGGTGTTGCTCATCAGGCCCTCATCAGCAGAAACTGTGTTTAGCTGCAGAAGGTTTCGGTGACCGGCTGTGTTATCTTGAGTCCACCTCCAACTCAAAGGTGAGATGCGCATTTGTTTAATAACATTGTTAAACCAAGTTACTATTCTGTGTGTAAGAACAGTCTACCATGTGCATTATCAAACTTCTGAAAAACCTTTCCTCTTGCTTACAGAATGTTCCCGCAGACCTTTCTGTGTGTGTGTTTGTGCTTGACCAGTGTCTGTCTGTCCGAGCGCTGCAGGAGATGCTGGCCAACCATGAAGATCAGTATGCAGGGGTGGGTAATGTAGTCAAAGTTGTACGTATTCATGTTGTAAACAAATGATCAAATTTGTGCCGAACACTGTAAAATATCACAGAGTGGTTTCGTTTCAGTCACGTGAGGCAGCTGGGCGTCGTACTCTGCTCTATGGCCAGGCGGTTCTCTTTCGACATGTCTACAGCGACATGGCAAGACCAGTCTTGATTTTACCTTGTTATTGCCATGCTGGGACTATGATGTTTTAACTTTAAACCTCTTCTGTCTTGTTTTAGTATCTCTGCTGTCTGTCCACATCAGGCCTCTCCTCTGACAAGCTGGCTTTTGATGTTGGTTTGCAGGAGGACACAAAGGGTAAGTTCATATTCTCCCCCTGTATAGTGTGTAATATGCGTGTGAATGTTTTAATCTTCTGCTATGAATACATGTTTGATAAAGACTAGAGCTGTCATATTATTTGTATCATGATTGTTGTTTGTATGGTTTTAGGTGAGGTGTGTTGGTGGACGGTTCACCCTGCCTCTAAACAGAGGTCAGAGGGTGAGAAAGTCAGAGTGGGTGATGATCTAATCTTAGTTAGTGTTTCCTCTGAGAGATACCTAGTGAGTAAATCCATTCGTTTGTTACCTGGTTATCTATTTATATATCTGTATACAGGTATTTTTATGCATTGTGACAACCTGTCTCTCTTATTAGCATGTGTCGTGGAGTAATGGTGAATGTAATGACAATGGCATTGGCCGGGTGGATGCTGCTTTCCAGCAGACATTGTGGAGTGTGGCTCTTGTTTCTACTCAGACTGCAGAGACGCAGGGTAGATGACCAATCACACGTTATGAATCATTTAAACATTTGTTTAGTGCCTGTAGATCTTACTGACTGATTTTCATGCTTTGTGACTAAATACATTGGCTAAAAAAAAGTATGCAGTTTTTGTGACCATATGATAAAACCATATGTTTTTAGATATATTTCAAAAATGGACAAACAAAAAAAATCTAGATACAAATATATATTTGAAATGTATATAGACAATGTAAATTTTTTTGTAAAATATTTTGTCAATTTTTTCCACCAAAGTGTATATACAAACCCAATTCCAAAAAAGTTGGGACACTGTACAAATTGTGAGTAAAAAAGGAATGGAATAATTTACAAATCTCATAAACTTATATTTTATTCACAATAGAATATAGATAACATATCAAATGTTGAAAGTGAGACATTTTGAAATGTCATTTGTAAATACAATATTTATAATAGATCACAAAAACAGTATTTTAGTAATATTTTATAATGTAATATTTTTGCTGGAGGTTTGTATAAAATTTGTGTCAGTTTTTCATGTGTTTGATTTTGACCTGTAGGTCATGTGAGAGGAGGGGATACTGTGCGTCTGCTACATGGACACACAGATGAATGTTTGACCATTCCTGCAGCAGAACACAGACGAGAGGAACGCAGGTCAGACAGGTTAAATAACTGATTGAATTACATTTATTACATCCTATTTCACCATTTTCCATCTTTTCCTTCAGATCTGTACATTTTGAGGGGGGCTCGGTATCCCTTCAGGCTCGATCTTTATGGAGGCTTGAAACGTTACATGTTGCGTAGGTATTCCTCCAGTTAGTTAGTGTATGACAGTTAGACAAAAGTATATATTTATTCCTTCTGTGCTGGTCAGATCACAGTAGTGAAGGGTTGTTTGCAGGTGGAGTGGCAGCCACACACACTGGGGTCAGCCTTTCCGTCTTCGCCACCTTTCCACCGGCTTATACCTGGGACTGACTCAGGATCGGGGACTACAGCTGGTGGAGAGAGAAAGAGCTGATATTAAATGCACTGCGTTCTGTCTCCGTGCATCAAAGGTTGGATAATATCAGCTATAAACGCAACATAGCCAGATAAACCACATTTTTGATTATATTGTATAGTCTGCATAATAATTTTCCTGTCTACACTTTCTCTTAAAGTGTGGTGGGATAATACATTTTAATTATGATTAATGCAAACTTTATTCTTTCTGTATTTTTATAGGAAGAGAGCCAGGAGAGCTCACACTTTAAGAGGAGAGATTGCATGGGTGCACCTGAGATCAAATATGGAGACTCTCTCTGCTTCATTCAGCACGTTGACACAGGGCTTTGGCTCACATATCAGACCACTGACTCCAAGAGACAGAAGGAAAGTGTGCCACAGAGACAGGTAAACTTGTGTAAATATATAAAATAAGGTCTAATATCATACTAGATAAGAACACTTACAATACAGAGCATCAGAAATCCTTCTAATATGCTTATTTGATGCTCAAGAAACATTTCTTATGGCATTATCAATGTTGAAAACATTGTGATGCTTAATTTGTTTGTGGAAACTGTCAAACAATTTTTTAGGATTCTTTGATGAATAGAAAGTTCATAAGAGCAGCTTTTTTTAAATATAATGTTCTTTTGTAATCAATTTTAAAATGACTTAATTTATAAATGTTAATACTGTCACTTTTGATCAATTTAATGCATCCTTTCTGAATAAATTAATGAATGAATTAAAAAAGAAATAATAATAATAATAAAAAATCTTACTGACCCCAAAATATTTGAAAGGTAGTGGACATTAGTCAGTTCCAGTGAACTCATTAATAATCCAAGTTAATAAGCCAAAGCACCTTCCTTTGTATTGGTTCCGTCTGATATGAATTTTGGTTCAAATGATTAAAGGGAAGTGGTTCTCTCTCATAGGCTGTTTTGCAAGCAGAAGGTCACATGGATGATGGAATCACCCTCTCTCGCTCTCAGAGGGAGGAGTCACAAGCTGCTTGTTTAATTCGAAGCTCTGCCCTTCTCTTCTCAAAATTCATTAGGTAAATATAAGAAATAGTAGAGTGGTAGCAGATGAAATAATATGTGCTTATCAGCTTTGCTTGAACATTTAGATATGCAAATGGTTTTTAAAGGCCAAAATGTGTTCAAAGAAGCACATTTATGTTTCGTAATGATTTTTCTTTACTTCTAAAGGGGATTAGATGATGTCAGCCAAAAGGAAAACATCACGGATTTGGATCTTCCAATTGAGATGGTCCATCTGACGCTCCAGGATTTGCTTGGTTATTTTCAATATCCTGAAATGGGGCAGGATCATGAGGTCAGACAGGGAGATATTAGAGCACTGAAGAACAGACAAAATCTTTTCCAAGATGAGGTAATATCTGCGGCGAATGAGAATCTCATATATCTTGCTGCTACACTGCAATAATATCTGAACTGTTTACTTTTTTTATTCTGCTTCATTGTGCTTTTCACAGGGTTTAATCACTCTGGTGCTGGACTGCATCGATCACTTGCATGTGTACAACAGTGCCACTCATTTTGCAGAGGCTGCTGGGAAAGAGGCAGGAGAGTCTTGGGAAATTATCTTGAACTCTTTTTATGAGCTGCTAGGTATAGGATGACTCATGTTTCAATATTTATAATTCAGGTTTAGCTTTTATTAACAAATTTTCTATTTCCCCTGCAGCTGCCCTTATGAGGGGTAATCGGAATAACTGTGCCCACTTTTCTAGTTCCTTGGACTGGCTTGTCAGCAGACTGGAGAGGCTGGAGGCTTCCTCTGGTATATGTTTTGCAAAATTGTTTAGCTTGTACTGTGACTAGAATAAGCTGATTTTAGAGTCTAGACATTGTTTTAATGCCTCACCTTGTCATTTGTTACTTTTTTAGGAATATTGGAAGTGTTACACTGTGTTTTAGTAGAAAGTCCTGAAGCTTTGAACGTTATTAAGGAAAGTCACATAAAATCTATAATCTCACTTCTGGACATACATGGAAGGAACCATAAGGTAACATTTACAGTACCGGTGTCTGCATTTATTTGATCAAAAATACAGTAAAACAGTGTGAAATAATTTTATAATTTAAAATAACTGTAAATGTTACACACCTGTAATATATAATATATTTTTTAAATGGAATTTATTCCTGTGACAGCTGTTACGTCAGTCTTCAGTGTCGCATGATTCTTCAAAATCATTCTAATATGATGTTTTGGTTCTCAAGAAACATTCTTATTATTATGATGTTGAAAACATTTGTGCTGCTTAATATTTTTTCGTGTAAACCAATCATTTTCTTTTTTTATTTAGGATTTTTGGATGAACAGAAAGTACATAAGAATGCATTTATTTGAAATAGAAATATTTTGTCACATTTTAAATGCCTTTACTGTCACTTCTAATTATTTAATGTGTCGTTGCTGATTAATAGTATTACTATTTTTTAAAAATCTTACTGGACCCAAACTTTTGATCGTTAGTATATTTATGTGCATTTATTTATTTATCACATCTGCAGATCTTGGATGTGTTGTGTTCACTCTGTGTGTGTCATGGCATGGCCGTCCGCTCTAATCAGCATTTGATTTGTGACACACTGCTGCCAGAAAGAGACCTTCTGCTACAAACAAGACTGGTTAACCAAGTTTTCAGGTGATTTGTTATCAACTCCCACACCACAAAATAATAGTGAAGGGCACATTTCGAGGTAATAATTTGTGCATCTAAAAATATTTTTTTAGTCTGTTATAATATAGAAATTGACCAGCTATGAGTATAAATGTTTAAAAAATCCTATAGAACATTTGAATTGTTTTTTTCTGTTTAGTGTGCGTCCAAACATCTTCCTGTGTGCAAGAGATGACTGTGCCCAATACAAGAAGTGGTATTATGAGGTTGTAGTTGAGAAGTCAGAGCCTTTTGTGACAGCAGAGCCTACTCATCTGCGAGTGGGTTGGGCCAGCACTGAAGGGTACCGTCCCTCCACCACAGGGGGTCACGGCTGGGGGTCAAACGGTGTAGGAGATGACCTCTGCTCTTACGGCTTTGATGGACTCCAGCTCTGGACAGGTGATATGGAGACTAAGCACATACACTACTGTTCAAATGTTTGACATTTTTTTTAAAGATATCCAGCAAGAATGTGTTAAATTGCTCAAAAATAAAAGTTCATTTGAACTGTTTTCAACATTGATTATAATGAAAAATATTTATTGAACACCAAATCAGCATAAAATAATGACTTCTGAAGAATCATGTGACACTTAAGACACCAGAAATGGTTGCTAAAAATTCAGCTTTGCCATCACAGGAATTAATACAATTTTAGAATATATTACAATAGAAAACAGTCATTATAATTGTAATAATATTTCACAATATTGCTGTTTTTACTGTATTTTTATCAAATAAATGTAAACTCCAAACACTATTGTTTATTCTTTCCTAGGAGGTGTAGCTCGGAGGGTCACCTCCCCCAATCAGCACTTGCTAAGGGAGGATGATGTCATTAGTTGCTGTCTTGACCTTAGTGCAACCTGCATCTCTTTCCGGGTCAATGGACAGCCAGTTCAAGGCATGCTGGAGGACTTCAGTGTGGATGGGCTGCTGTTTCCAGTCGTCAGCTTCTCAGCTGGAGTGCAGTGAGTTACCTTTGAATGGATTTTGATTTTGCATGTTGTGTTACTTGTAGGTTTGTTTGCTCATTTCACAATGAAAAATGTGGTCTATTCTACCCCAATTCTACTTCATTTTGTTTTAAATTAACCTCCCCAAGTTAAAATTATGACCTGTACATCCTAAAACAACTTAAATAGTGCACTGTTTTGTTTTTCTTCATTAGTGTGCGTGTGCTGTTTGGAGGTCGACAGGGGGAGTTTAGGTTTCTTCCTCCAGCTGGTTTCTCTCCATGTTCTGAAGCTCTCCTCCCAAAAACCCACTGCAAGCTGGAACTGTTTCACAAACTCACACGAAATCACACCGAAAGCCAACGTGACCTCTTAGGCCCTGTGGTACCTATAAGCCCAGTGACCTTTATCCCCATTCCAGTGGATTCCAGTGAGGTACTATTCAATTTTAAGTATGCTCTGATCATTTTAAATTTAGCACCAGTACATTTATTTCAAGCTACAATCGGTCTTGCATCAACTTGTATGAGTGTCTGACACCCTTGCGCTCAACTCTGCATCTTGTCAGGTTGAATATCCTCCACAGCTGGAGCAGATCAGAGAAAGATTAGCAGAAAACCTCCATGAACTCTGGCTTATTGACAAAATAGAGCAGGGGTGGACCTACGGACCTGTAAGTATCTGAGTAACATATTTTAAGTAGCTCCATCTCATTCTGATGTATATTGAAAATACATCTCTTCTCCTAGGTTAAAGATGAGAGCAGAAAAATACACCCATGTCTAGTTGAATTTTCCAAACTTCCAGATCAGGAGCGAATTCATAACCTCCAGTCATCTGAGGATATCCTCAGGTATTCCATTGATTATTGTGCCTAATAAAGTATTAATTAGCTCTTTATTATTAACCATGCTTCTTTTTGTGTTGTGGAAGGACTCTTTTGGCTTTTGGTGTCCATATTGGACTCTCTGATGAACATGCTGAGGAGAATGTGAAATATGTTCGTAGATAAATAATATTTTTGCAGACAAACCGAATGCTTGTTTTAATTTAATTTAATTTAATTTAATTTAATTTAATTTAATACAAAATAGCATTTCTGCACATAAGAAAGAAAACATCAAATGACCTTATTTCTATATAGTCTTCCCTATAATATTTGCTGCAGGTTAGGGATTTGTATTGTTGCCCACAGAATGTGATGCCACTATCAGCGGGAGTTTTTCGGAGTGAAAGAAGAAATGCAAAACCTCAGTGCCCTCCTAGATTGTGTGTTCAACACCTAACGCTTATGCGGTGGACCCGAGTACCTGACCACACTCAGCCTGTGGAAGTGACCCGTCTGGAGGAGAGATATGGCTGGAGAGCTCGCTGCACTCAGATCCGTCAGATCATGACCCTGCATATACCTGAGGAGAACAGGTCAGAGGTCATGTTGAAGATGTCAAGTAACTGCTAACATGGAGCTAGAAAAATAACCCAAAAATATTAAGGCTTTGACATATAACATTTAATAACATTGTGGCATATGTTATAGTTTTGTGAAGCATTTCTGCACATAAGAAAGAAAACATCAAATGACTTTATTTCTATATAGTCTTCCCTATAATATTTGCTGCAGGTTAGGGATTTGTATTGTTGCCCACAGAATATGATGCCACTATCAGCGGGAGTTTTTCGGAGTGAAAGAAGAAATGCAAAACCTCAGTGCCCTCCTAGATTGTGTGTTCAACACCTAACGCTTATGCGGTGGACCCGAGTACCTGACCACACTCAGCCTGTGGAAGTGACCCGTCTGGAGGAGAGATATGGCTGGAGAGCTCGCTGCACTCAGATCCGTCAGATCATGACCCTGCATATACCTGAGGAGAACAGGTCAGAGGTCATGTTGAAGATGTCAAGTAACTGCTAACATGGAGCTAGAAAAATAACCCAAAAATATTAAGGCTTTGACATATAACATTTAATAACATTGTGGCATATGTTATAGTTTTGTGGCATATTTTTATAGTTCAGAATGTAATTTTTAATCTGAATATTTACAGCTAATTTTCCCATAAAAAAACTTGCAGTGTAAAAATACAAAACATTACAATTATATAGTAATATTTGTATAATGTAAATAAAATTAGATTAAAATCTATAAAACGTTTTACACACTTTTCAACATTTTTGACATTTTTATCTATGGAGCTAGAATTTGTTTTTTAAATGTGACAAATAACAAAAAAATTTTTTTTTGGGTGGTGTATTTTAAAGTTTTCAATTTGAATTTGGTACATTTAAATTTTAAACATGACATTAGTAAAATGTAATTGTTTTGTGTTGTATTTAATATACTTGTATTTTTAAGATAGAATTTAAGATAACATATTTTTTTTATTCCGATAACCTTCCGATAACTTCTGAATTTCTGAATAAATTTTTGTTGTCTGAATATTTAAAACTATCCCCCCACCCCCCAAAAACTGCTGTTTAAAAATACAAATCTATAAAAAATGTGTTTAATGAAAAAACAACAACAACAACAAAATTCTAATACAATTTTTTTATTTCTGTGATTATCCTCTTTTCCCTCTTTCAGGTGTGTTGACATTCTGGAACTGTCCGAACTGCGTGATCTCCTAAAGTTCCATGACCACACCCTTCACCTCTACTCAGCCCTTTCAGCTCATGGAAACACACATGTAAGCCACGCCCTCTGCAGTCATGTCGACCAATCACAACTTTTGTTCGCCTTGCAGTGCTCGAGAATGCCAGGTCACCTGCGGACAAGTTACTACAACTTCCTCATCAACACCCACCTCGGTGCCCACGCCAGTGCCAGGCAGGCCATGACCCACGAATACATTGTGCCTATGATGGATGCCACGCAGTCTACTACGCTCTACAAAAACAATAGGAAGGTGCAGAGATTCCCAGGAAGTGACTTCAGCACTTCCTTATGGCCCAGAATGCGTTTTACGTCACCTTGCTTCATCAGAGCTAATAAAATAGACGTGATGGATAGAGATGAGGGTGGGGCTTTGTGGAGTAACTTGCGCCAAAACAGCCCAGAGATCCCATTGGATGTATTAAAGGATGTTGTCATAACAATGCTGAAGGAGGCAGTGGCAGCAGTAGGGCAGGGTGTGAGGGATCCTGCAGGGGGAAGCATAGAGCTCCTTATGGTTCCTCTGCTTAGTTTACTCCACACTCTCCTGCTGATGGGTGTGTACCAGGGGACAGATCTGGAGGCCGTGTTTAGTCTCATCCTGCCAGCCAGTTACATGAGAGGAACATGTAAAACAGAAGAGATGGATGAACTGGAAGAAAGTGATGGAGAAAGAGAGGAAAAGGAGGGTAGAGATTGGGAGGATAATGTCCCTCAGCAAAATCTTCTTCAGATGAAGCTTCCAGAAGCTGTCAAATTACAGGTTGGCACAGTTCATTTAAAGGCATAGGTCACCCAAAAATGAAGATTTTGTCATTTATCTACTCATTCTTATGTCATTCAACACTGTTGCCCCTTTTTGACCGGATTCTCTCTCTCTTATAATGTCTCCCTTTCTCACAATTTCTCACTATCAGGTGTGCCACCTTTTGAAGTACCTGTGTGACTGCCAGGTACGTCATAGAGTAGAAGCCGTGATGTCGTTCTCAGGTGACTTCATAGGTCGTCTTCAAGACAACCAGCGCTTTCGATACAATGAAGTTATGGATGCTCTCAACATGTCTGCTGCTCTCACGGCACGCAAAACTAAAGAGTTCCGTTCCCCGCCTCAGGAACAGGTCAGAGGTCATAGGTTAACTGGATTGGACTGTGTATTTCAGTCATTATTTACTTGTCTCATTCCAAACCTGTGTGACAGGCGTGTCCAGTCCTGCTTCTGGAGGGCACACATCCCGCAGAGTTTAGCTCCAACACACTTGCCTAGAAGTTACTAATGAATCTGTAGATTTGATTAGCTGATTCAGGTATGCCTAATTAGGGGTGGAGCTAAACTCTGCAGGGCAGTGGCCATCAAGGAACAGATTTGGACATCCCTGCTGTATGACATTCTTTCTTCTGTGGAACGCAAAAGAGGATATTTTGGAAAAATATGAAATTCAGTAGGGTTTAGTGTTGTTTTAGAACCACTGAAACAGTTTTCGAAATATTTTCTGTTGTGTTTCACTGAAAGTCATACAGGTCTGGAACATCATTAGGGTGAATAAATGTTGAATTTTTGATATTTTTTAAAAGATTTATCCATTTAAAGACATGATGTAATGGAAAAAGCAACAGTCAGATCTTTTCCTCCATATTGTGACGCACATCTGAGTGAAATCTGTTGTTCAGTCCATTGGTTGTTGATTGGATGGAGGTGTATCTGAATGTGAGCTTGCAATCAATTATAAGAAAGGAGCAGGTTTTATGCAGACAAAATAATTGGAGATGTCTGGCATACTTATCCCAGAGGCAAATCTGTTGTTTCACCAGAACATTGAGTTATGACATTTGGATTAAATACGAGGTTAAAAAAAATTGAAAGGAAATGAATCATTCACATTATGATCAACAACATAATTTTAGAAAAGAAGATGAATTTTCATTTCATGCAGATTGAACTTTCCCTAATGAGTCCTTATTTTTTCTCTGTCCAGATAAACATGATGTTGAGCTTCCGGGAAGAGTGTCAAGAATGTCCTTGTCCAGAGGACGTCCAAGATTTGATGTGGGAATTCCATCAGGATCTAATGAGCCACTGTGGTAGGCAGCCAATTAGGACAACTAATGCTATAGCCTATTTGTATTTCCATTAACTGGCCTTATGACCTCTTGTATGCATTTATTCACATCTTTTTTACTGTTTAATACAGGAATTGAGATAGACAGTGATTCAGAGAATGAGGATGAGGACAACCAGTCAGTCAGGAATCACCTCCAAAGCCTAGTGGATAAAATAATTCATTTAAAGAGGAGAATGTCTGGTCTGCCTGAAGAGATTGTGAACAAACCTGGTAGGAAACACTACCAGTCACTTTTGGCTCTCGAAAATAATCTTTTTCATTATTTTGGGATCACATTGTTATGTTATGAACTGTATTAATACAGCATCTTGATTCTGTTACTGGTAAAACTGTACAGGGTCTTTCAATTACACACCAGATGAGTGAAGTTAAAACAGACCTCTCTCTTTCTAGTCTCACTACAGCAGCTGATATCAGAGACCATGCTGCACTGGGCCCAGGAGGGGACGATAGAAGACCCAGCTCTGGTGCGTGCTGTTTTCAGCCTGCTGCATCAACAGTATGCTGGGCTGGGAGGCCAGATGTCTGCACCACTACAGAAGGCTTACTGTATCAGCCAGACATCTGTGGAAGACACTCTTAATCTACAGTGGGCTCTAGCACGCATTCGTTCATTGCTCACAGCCAGGATGGGCAAAGAAGAGGAGGAACTCATGATCAGAGGACTAGGGTAAGAGAAGATGACTGGGTTTGTAATGTAATACTATATAATTACTTATTCTATACTGCACAGTATACACTGTGTACTGTGTACTATGTATTTTTATTTAAATAGGAAGTGAAACATTATGTAGCATTAACCATTTCAAACAATACTATGCTTTATCACATGACCTTAACAAGTAGCATGTGAGTAGCATCAATCTTAGAAATTAATTTGGTTATTTTACATTTTTGTATCAGTTTTGTGTAAAAATGTGCATATTTTGAATCAAGATAGAGATGTTAAAATTGCAGCTGACTGAAAACCCAAAGAAAGGGAGATATTTAAGTGTAGGTAATATAATGTTAATATATGCATTTTAAAAGATAGAAAAAATTAACATACACTAATGTTCAGAAGGTTTTTTATCCTGAAAAACCAAAAACAAAACATCACAGTTTCCACAAAAGTTGAAAAAATGTTGACCACCGAATGATTTCTGAAGGATCATGTGACATAAAGACTGGAGTAATTCAGCTTTGCAGTCACAGAAATAAAATATATCTCAAAATATATTCAAATATGAATTTTAATATATTTTATTTTTATAATTTTATTACAAATTTTATTCTATTATATTACTATTTTTAATGTAGAGACCTCTTTCAAAAACCTATTTTTTTACTGACCTCAAACTTGTGAACGGTAGTGTATTTTATTTATTTTTATGATTTTTATTATTATTTTTATGACTAAGCACAAATTCATCATAAAGTGACATTTCTAATCTGAACAGAGGCACTGAATAGAGTACCAATAAAACATTTCAGCCAATAAAATTACTTAATTTGACACATCCCATAATACAATTTTCACTTATTAAATTATCCAATATTTCTGATGGACTACTATGTCCAAGTCAGTTTTATTCCTAATCTAAGACCTTTGTTTTCTCTTGTGTAGTGACATTATGAACAATAAAGTTTTCTATCAGCATCCTAATCTAATGAGAGCTCTGGGGATGCATGAGACCGTCATGGAAGTTATGGTGAATGTCCTTGGTGCTAGAGAATCTAAGGTAATCATAATAACATCAAGTACTTGCAGTGATTATCAGCTTCTGCGTTCATTATGGTTGTAAAATGTCAACTACATAATTGAACCACTCAAATTAAAACTTAATCATTGCATTAAGTGCAGTGTTTTGATTTATTCACTCCCATGAGGTGCTCTGTTAACTCTTATCCTCTGGCCTCATTAAGGAAATCATGTTTCCTAAGATGGTTGCGCACTGCTGTCGTTTCCTTTGTTATTTCTGTCGAATCAGTCGGCATAATCAGAGGGCCATGTTTGATCATCTCAGCTACCTGCTGGACAACAGTAATGTTGGACTTGGTATGTTTATCCTAATACTGATATGGTTATACCTCAACCTGAACATTTCTAAGGAAGTAGACAAAAGCAAATGTGATTTTGTTTTTATCAGCTTCTCCCTCAATGAGAGGATCAACTCCTCTGGATGTGGCGGCTGCTTCTGTCATGGACAACAATGAACTGGCGCTTGCTCTTACAGAGGGAGATCTGGAGAAAGTAAGTCTCACTGACTGATTCTTTTATCTCTCTTCTACATTACTTCTGACTTTTGGTGATATGGAGCTGTCTGTACTGGTTTTTAATTTGTGCAGGTGGTGCAGTATTTGGGAGGCTGTGGTTTGCGTAGTTGTGCTCTGCTGGTCTCCAAAGGATACCCAGATATTGGTTGGAATCCTGTAGAGGGAGAACGTTACCTGGACTTCCTGCGTTTTGCAGTATTTTGCAATGGTAATGAGCAGTTCCTGAATCCTGACCTAGTGAAACCTATTGAAACACCTCTGGTTGGTTTTGATTAGTTATCCTCCTCATACAGGTGAGAGTGTTGAGGAAAACGCCTATGTGGTAGTGAGGCTTCTGATTCGCCGACCTGAATGCTTTGGCCCCGCCCTTCGAGGGGAGGGGGGAAATGGTCTTTTAGCAACTATTGAGGAAGCCATCAGAATTTCCCACCTGCAGGATGGAATCAGTGCAGCCAGTACACACAGTTCCAACCGGACGCTGTGAGTGTTACGTTTTGAATTTTATCCTGTCTTATCCATTCTCGCTCATGCCCATGTCTCATTCTGACCTGCACTTCTAGTGACACGCTTGATGATGAAGATGAGGATGTCATTCACATGGGACACGCCATAATGACCTTCTACTCTGCTCTCATTGATCTGTTGGGTCGTTGCGCCCCTGAGACGCATGTAAGTGTTTCAGGAAACCCACTGGGCAAGCTAGATAAGAGCCTCGTAATGTGCTTGAAGGATTTAGTTGGAAAAGGCTTATTGGTTTTATCTACTTTTTAAGGCAAAGTCAGGTTTCATTAAAGGTTTGAAAGGTTCTTCAAGGTTTGCTAATGGGCGTCTCTGTTGTGTGTGAATATGACCTGCAGCTCATAGAAGCGGGGAAAGGTGAGGCCATTCGGATCAGGGCAATCTTGAGGTCTCTCGTTCCCAGAGAGGATCTGGAGGGAATCATCAATATTCCTTTTAGTTTACCACTTGTAAACACAGGTGTGTATGAGTGTGTGCGTTTGTTGACTTGTGAACTTGTGTAAAATATACATTCATGAAGTAAAAGTAATTATTTTCCTGACTATTGATTTATCTTTCTAAATGTATTTGATTATTAAAAACTGAAATCAGTGTAATGAGAGAGAGTCTGAGCTCAGTTTTTAAATAAACTAAGTAAATTTAGTTTGGAACTGCTGGCAAAGATGTGTAGTAGGGTATTTTATGTCTAAGTGATTCATTGGTGGTTGAAAATATTTTGTGCTTGCTATACTCAGATGATCTAGTGGTGGAGCCTGACATGTCTCGGATATTTTGTCCGGATCACAAAGCAGCCATGGTGCTGTTTTTGGACCGGGTTTATGGAGTTCAGGACCAGCAGTTTTTGCTGCGTCTACTGGAGAATGGTTTCCTGCTGGACCTGCAAGCGGCTGTTAACATGGATGCTGTAAGTGGGAAGATGTTGAATGTAGGAAAAGTTCACCCAAATTTGAATACTGTCATTATGTCTTTTCAAACCGATATGACCTTTTTTGACCCATGTGACCTTTTCTTCTGTAAAACACAAAATTAATTTTAGCTGAATCTCTGTGGTGCCTTTTTCCATAGTGTGCAAATAAGTGGGGATGGAGTTCTTGATCTCCAAAAATGTCATAATTTAATTTAATGTAATTTTTAGACATTTAGCAGACACTTTTATCCAAAGCGACTTACAAATGAGGAATAAAACATCATCAAAGCAGTTGAACTCGTGCACTATATTCCAAGTCTTTTGAAGTCAAACAATTGTTTTGTGCAAGGAATAAATCTGAAATTTAAGTCTTTTATTTACTGAAAATCTTGAGTTTGTGGAGTCTGAGCCCCCTAATTAAGGTTTGAATCCCGCAGTGGATGCCAAAATAAAGGTTATGGGGGTCTTACAGGCTTGCAGTTTTAATTTGACATATTCCAACAGTGTTCTCTGTTCTACATGTTTCATCAGCTCTGTCTGAATGCAACATAAAAAGAAAATATGATTTCAACCACCCCTAAAACAGGCCACACCGTTGATGTATGGCTCCTGGAGTTCCAAACCTGAAGAGATTACCAAAACACAGAAGTCATATTGCCATAATTAATTAATTTTTTTAAATAATTTTTTTAGAAAGAAGAAATTAATACTTTTATTCAGAAAGGATTCTTTAAATTGACCAAAATTGACAGTAAAGGCATTTATAATGTTAAAAAATATTTCTGTTTTCAAATAAATGATGTTCTTTTGAACTTTCCATTCATCAATGAATCCTGAAAATGAATCACGATTCCACAAGAATATTAAGCAGCATATTAACTGTTTTCAACATTGATGATAATAAATGTTTCTTGAGCACCAAATTGGCATATTAGAATGAATTCTGAATGATCATGTGACACTGAAGACTGGTAATGGTTGCTGAAAAATCAGCTTTGTATATATAGATATGTTTTCCCTCTTTGCAGACGGGGTTAGGTGGAACAGATATGGCACTAGCCCTTAATCGATACATATGTGTGGCTGTGCTGCCATTGCTGAGTAAGTATTCCTCTCTGCTGTGTGACTCCTCTTCACTGCGGACTGGGCTGGTGGATGAGCTCATGCAGGGTGTCTACAGCCTCTCTAAAGCCAGCGGACTGACCAAGGCCCAGAGAGATGCTATCCAGGACTGTCTGCTGGCAGTGTGCGGGTGAGGATGTTCGAATAAAAGCCATGAATGGCATGGTAACAATAGTGAATGCTTTAAAAAAGTTCTGCAAATAATAGACCATTAGAGTGGAAGTCATTGTATCTTTGTCTGCCTGTTCTTGCTCTTTTAGAACTGACAAATATTTTAAGATCAGATATTAAGAAACAAATCCATATTGCATAGGTCTGTTTATTTATAACCCGTTATCATTTATTTATAACAATTTTGTTCCCACAGAAAACTGAATCCCTCCATGTTGCAGTCTCTGCTGCAGAATCTTGTGTTTGACGTCCCTCAACTATCAGAAAACTCCAAGATGCCACTCAAGGTCTAAAGAAAAAACATAACATTTATAAAATATAAAATTATGTTTTCCTAAAGCAATTCTGCTTATCACTGTGGTTGCTTCTTCCAGCTGTTGACCAATCATTATGAGCAGAGCAGGAAGTACTACTGTCGGAATGATGGATGGTGTGGCTTTGGCTCTGCCTCAGAGGAAGAACTTCGTCTGACCAGAAAGCTGTTTTGGGGGATATTCAGTGCTCTTGCCAAAAAAGTGAGAAAAGACAGAAAATCTCCATTTCAAACCAAGTGACTGCACAATTAATTTCTCCAAAAGAGGGTTTAATTCTTTTAATAAACTGGATATTTTATGTCTGGTTTTTTTATGCATCAAACTGTTCAAACTGTTCGAATTTCATTTTGAATTGCACAATCAAAATGTTTGCTTTTCAATCTCGTCCACAGTCTTACGATCCAGACCTATTCAAACTGGCCCTGGGTTGTCTCAGTGCAGTTGCCGGGGCGATTCCTCCTGACCACCTTGAGCCGAGCTGCACAGGAGGACAAGAGAGACACTCGACGATGGATTCAGAGGGACGGTTTTGTCCTCGACACCTGGACACCTCAAAGTAAGACTTCTGTAGACTTAAAGGTCCATAACACATCCTAAACCAGCTGAAACAGACCCGCTTGAGCTGGATGTAATGGACTAATTTGCACTGAGATCTTCTGAGAACCTCTGAGATCAGCACTAATCTCAAACGTTCACTTCATCATCTTCTGAAAAGTGTAGTGTGAATGACTGTTTATTCGATATGCAGTAAATAATAATCCAGTTTTTTCATGCATTTATAGTGTGACAATCCCAGAGATGCTTGAGTTTGTGGTGAACAAATATGCTGAACATACACATGAGAAATGGTCCCTGGAAAAGGTAAGAAGTTTCGTATTACAGGTGTTTGCTTGAGAATATCGTGGAAACTTTGGGAATTCTGTAGTTTTAAAGCTATTTGTGTTTGATAATTCTTTTCTAGTTTGGTAACGGTTGGGTTTATGGAGAACAGTTTTCTGAGAGTGCTAAAGTTCATCCACTCCTAAAACCTTACAGAGCTCTGTCTGAGAAGGTAGCAAACTCTCCTCATACACAAAACATGTAGACACATTACAAATAACAACATCAGATATTCAGAATTTTAAAGAGAAATCAGAAAAAAGCAACATGCAGTTTATCATGCAGTTCACTGTCACACAGTGAGGTTGCTCTGTATTTTAGGATAAAGAAGGTTATCGAGGGGTCATTAAAGAGACAGTGAAATGCATGCTGGTCTTGGGATGGACTATTGAGAGGACCAATGATGGGGAGTCACAAGGCTTTCACAACCCAGCTCTGAGGATTTCACAGTCTGGCAAGGTAATGGACACCTTCACGGAGAACTGCAAAGCTCTGATGAAGAATGTGTGATATTGTGCTTTCTCTGTGTTTTTCTGTCCATTATTCCTTAATTTTCAAATTTTAGTTTTTTGAGTAAATCCATCAGGGGCACCGCTACAGTTACTGGGCCCCTGGACAGCATATTCACTCGGGCCCCCGCTTTCCGGGGGGGTGGGATTGGGGGTGTTCTCTTCCATACAGATCCGGGGGGTCCCTCTCGGTAGAAATCGTAATCGCGTTCCCCTTGGCAGAATTCTCGTTGCTCGCTCGGGGAGCCCCCCTCCTTCATCGGGCCATTAGAATCATCCTAACCCCCCTCCCCTTTACGGTGCCCCTGGCGCCCTCAATGAGACCGTATCATTGCTTTAATTTGCAAATAATACATTTCATTTGAAGAAGACTTGATTAAGCATGTGCATTTAAATGGTGCTGGTCCATGCTTGGAGCATTAGAAAAGATTAAATATATCCATTAATGCTTAAACATGCTTCCAAATTCCTCCCTGAAAATCTCAACACAGACTAAATGTGTAGAAGTGATTCAGTGATTCAGCAACATTTAGTGATGTTGCTTCAGCTTGTTTTGAACCATAAGAACAATATTAATAAGCATTTGATAAGCATTTCAGCAGACCAATAATGTGTTGTTTTTGTTTTCCACTTTGACCACTGTGCATCAAGGTAAATTCTTTCTGCATAAATTGTACTGACAGCTGTTTTGTATTGCACATGGCACAAAGCGATTGGGATTCAGAATAGAGTTTCTGTGCTCGCCAAGACTGGATTAACAGCTCTTAGACTTTTAAAAGACATTGCTTATTCAGAGAACATGGGATGCATTCATGGCATGCGCTTCGGTTTGATAAATGCTTGATATCAAACCAGATAAATGTATTGTGTTTCTTTGGAGAACATAAATTGTGTTTTGTCTTTTAATAGCTGTCTTTTGAAGGAGCTTCCACATTCAGTCCAAAGCCTGTGGATACCAGCAGTGTCACTCTAACCTGGGATCAGTATGTAAGCAGCTTCAATTAATTCCATATAATATAAACCAGTCCAACAGGGACCAAAGAGGAGATTACACCATTAACCATTGATTACTGCTTTTATTTGAGTAACTTTTATAGAATAGCTTTTTGAAAACTTTCAAATTCAAGTTGGCCAAATAACAGAACGTATTTTAGAAGTCATTTTAGAAATTGCCTCATATACTGTCTATATACCACCAGCCAGCTTTTTACATTAACAGGATTAAAAATAACTGCACTTTCAATCTGGTATTGAAGGCCATGGCAGAGCGGTTGGCTGAGAATTATCATCACATCTGGGCAGCCAGGAAACTGCAGGAACTGGAGAGTAAAGGTGTGTCTTACAGATGGGCCGCTGTGAGAAATGATACAGTGAATTAAATTAGGGATCCTGCAGCCACCTGCGTATTACAGTGAAACAAAACACTGTGAAATAGGAATACTGGGTGAAAGGTGTGTGTGGAAGAGGTGTAGATGTACATTGTACTCGTGTGTGTATATATACACTACCATTCAGAAATTTTGAATAAGAATAAAAAAAAAGAAATAAATATAAATGAAATTGAATCGACAGTAAAGACATTTATAATGTTACAAAAGATTTATATTTCAAATAAATGCTGTTCTGTAAATCTTTCTATTCCTCAAACAATTAACAAATGTACCACAAATGCTTTCAACACTGACAATAATAAGAAAGATTTATTGAGCTGCAAATCAGCAATGATTTTTGAAGGATCAAGTGATTCTATTTGAAGGATCAAGTGAGACTGGAGTAATGACTGCTAAAAAAATTAAACTTTGCCATTACAGGAATAAATTACTTTTAAAATTGTATTAAAATAGAAAAACAATTATTTTATGTTGTAACAATATTTCACAAAACTATTGCTTTTACTATATTTTGATGAAATAAATGCAATAAAAGCATACAAAACTTCACATTAAGAAATCATACAGACCACAAACTCTTGGGTAGTGTATTGTACTACAGTGGTATAGGCAATGAAAGATATTAACTGTAAGCAATTCTTAACCTTTGATATTGCTATTTGCACTCATATTTTTTATAAACTAATAATGCTGCAAAATAATCACCAGTGGCACCCTGAAGTGTTTTTCTCTAGTGCTATAATAACCTGCTGTATACTATCCTACTTATTACAAAATAGCAAATAAATTTAATTTAAAACTATTGCAGAGAGCTTTGTAATATGCACTAACTACTAAGGCAACAAACTAAGTGCAGGAATTAATTTAATAACTGTCACCAGTTTAATTAATTATAATGCATTGCTTATATATAACTCCTTTAACAATGGGAATTATGTTAATGGACCAGAATCTTTTGAGCTGTTAATACTGATGCTGTTTTTGTCCAGGAGGGGGCAGTCACCCTCTGCTTGTACCGTACGATGCTCTGAGCGTTAAAGACAAGAGTCGAGTCAGAGACAAAGCTCAAGATGTTCTCAAGTTCTTCCACATCAATGGGTACTCAGTGAGGAGGTGAGGATGCTTTCCTGCTACTGGATACTAGAATGAGCATCATGCCTTTGAAGTGTCCATTTCATTTTCACTTACTGGATTTTCACTGCACAGGAACAGAAAGGTGGCAGATGCTGATTCCCCAGCGATTGTGAGCCGCTTCGCTTACGGCCTGTTACAGCAAGCCCTCTGTCTCACTGAGCAAGCCCAGGAGCAGTTACTAGAGCTGGGTTAGACACACACACATCCCCCTGTTCTTCCACTCCACTTCTCTCCAATTATTTGTTTGCACATCTGTCTTTTTATATAACTGCCCTGTAATTTCAAGGCCTTACTAATCTGAAAGGAGTGTTAAAAAAAAGTTTACACAAAAGTTAAAATTCTGTTATCAATCGTCCTCATGCCTTTCCAAATCCTAATGCAAAAAAGGTAGCTCAAAAAAGTTACCATAGCTCATTTTTATATAATCAAATGGGATGTAGACAGATGCTGTCAAGCTGTCAAAAATCACAGTAGTCTTGAAGCCATATAATAAATATCAAATTACTAGCTCTCATATTAAATCGGCTTTAAAAGCATTCATAGAGCCAATGTTGATATTCAAATATGAATGTTATGTTCAATATGTAGACATGTGAATCAGTCATTTTTAACTACAACTATTAAAAATAGTTTTTGCCAAGTTGAAGTACTAAGATTATTAAAACTAAAAATGAAATAAATATAAAGCTAAATAGAAATATGAAAAATGACAAAAGCCTAAATATTGAAAATTAAACTACTAATAATTAATAAAGTTAAAATTAAAGTTGAAAATATGAAAATAAAATGTAATTAAAATATCAATTGATAGTATAATAGTATATGAAACTACTAAAATAACTGGTGTAAACGAGATTTGAGAGCTAAGATTTTAAGATTTTTTGTGACTAAAACATTTTTTGGGCAAACTATTCCTTAAAAGGATCCTAATATCAGTTAATTTCAACTATGTTGTCTCATTTGTCTGATGCATGTGAAAACCTTGCATTGAAATCTGTTAATCAAGTTTAAATGTATTTTGGTTTGTGTTTTGCAGAGGTTGCTCAAGCTCGAGGGCAGATTAACAGGGCTGAGAAAGTTCCCCATGAACAACAAATTAATTTCTTTATTAAGGTCAGTTATCTTTACTGCAGGTCAGGCAACACTGAAATCGATGAGAATTCATCACAGCATAGCAGCTAACTGAGTCAGGATGACATACCTATTTAAATAACTGCCTGATTTGATCTCCAAAGAATTATCCAAATGAAATGGATTTTTGGATACTTGTTAAGACACAGCAGATGTGTATTTTGTGTATTGGAATTGTTTATTATATCTTAAGTGGTAACCAAGAGAACGTCTCAGCTTGTTCAAAGCTTTGTGATAAACATTTACTGTACATGTTTTTGTAATTGAACCACAGTGTGGTCATGGTAAATTTGTGTAGTTGCAGATAATTACAGCTTTGTATTGTTTGTCCAAACGGACATCTCTGTGGGTCATGTCATTGCTGATCCCATAATTGATTAGACGTCATGTTTTGCCATCCATCCCTGTTCTGAGACAATGTGCTGCCTTGCTGTTTAAAAGTCTTTCATTCCCACATGAAGATCAATAACAACGGTCAGCAGTTCCCTGACCTCCTCAACTATCAATCTCATTATTGTGCACTAAAAATCTTCACTTCAAAATGAAATGTTCAAAATGAACATTTCTTCAGTTGGTGACTGTTGTTTTATTCAAGCCTCTTTTTCTTTCTGTCCCAGGTTGTAATGCCACTATTAGATCAATACTTCAAAAATCACTATCTCTACTTCCTCTCCACTACGTGTTCACTTAGAGATGGCTGCCAGTCCACCAATAAAGAAAAAGAGATGGCCACAAGGTAATTTGTGATGACAGACTGCTATTACATTTGCATGTGATTATGTGAGTCTGGTTTTTCTTACATAAGTCAGCAGTCCTCAGTAACTTTATAAAAGCTGTGTTATTTTACATTGAGTGGGTCCCCTTATGGGTGTTAAGACCACATGACCAGATAAATACTACTCAGTTTAACACCCATTATTTGAAAGCTTTAGCTCATGGAATAAATCATGGGTGACAGAGCATTTATGCGACAGTAAATAAAAACTTGCATGATTGTGCATCTAAGCCATTTGGTGTTCAAGAGGCACATCACTTTATTTATCACTTTATTGAGCACTTTATTCAGGAGTGATAAACCACAGTTTTAACAGGGGGGCAAACACTTCTTCACACAGGGCCATGTAGTTTTGGATTTTGTTTTCCCTTAATAATAAAAACCTTCATTTAAAAACTGCATGTTGTGTTTACTTGTGTTATCTTTGACTAATATTTAAATTTGGTTGATGATCTGAAACATTAAAGTGTGACAAACATGCAAAAAAATAAGAAATCAGGAAGGGGGCCAACACTTTTTCACACCACTGTACATGTTTTTGTAATTGAACCACAGTGTGGTCATGGTAAATTTGTGTAGTTGCAGATAATTACAGCTTTGTATTGTTTGTCCAAACGGACATCTCTGTGGGTCATGTCATTGCTGATCCCATAATTGATTAGACGTCATGTTTTGCCATCCATCCCTGTTCTGAGACAATGTGCTGCCTTGCTGTTTAAAAGTCTTTCATTCCCACATGAAGATCAATAACAACGGTCAGCAGTTCCCTGACCTCCTCAACTATCAATCTCATTATTGTGCACTAAAAATCTTCACTTCAAAATGAAATGTTCAAAATGAACATTTCTTCAGTTGGTGACTGTTGTTTTATTCAAGCCTCTTTTTCTTTCTGTCCCAGGTTGTAATGCCACTATTAGATCAATACTTCAAAAATCACTATCTCTACTTCCTCTCCACTACGTGTTCACTTAGAGATGGCTGCCAGTCCACCAATAAAGAAAAAGAGATGGCCACAAGGTAATTTGTGATGACAGACTGCTATTACATTTGCATGTGATTATGTGAGTCTGGTTTTTCTTACATAAGTCAGCAGTCCTCAGTAACTTTATAAAAGCTGTGTTATTTTACATTGAGTGGGTCCCCTTATGGGTGTTAAGACCACATGACCAGATAAATACTACTCAGTTTAACACCCATTATTTGAAAGCTTTAGCTCATGGAATAAATCATGGGTGACAGAGCATTTATGCGACAGTAAATAAAAACTTGCATGATTGTGCATCTAAGCCATTTGGTGTTCAAGAGGCACATCACTTTATTTATCACTTTATTGAGCACTTTATTTTTTGCACTTTGTATTAAAAAGAAGATTGCTAGCATATCAGCATGTAATCCTTTTTGGATACACAGCAAATGAATTTGAAGTATTGAGTTTTTACTCTTTTTGAAAGAATTAATTTGTTACTTGAAAACATGTAATAAACCTGTAATAAATATCTGAAAATGCAAAAATGTTTAGGAGACAGAAAATATAATTCACTCTGTAAAAAAAACTACACAAAGATGGAGAAATGTGTGTGTGTGTGTGTGTGTGTGCGTACACACAAATGGCTGATTGCATGTCTGTGTCTCCATGTTCACCTTTGCTACTGTCATTATATATTTTCAGTTCCATCTGTCTTGTTTTTTCCCATTCATTTCTCTCATTCTTTCTCTTACATTCATCCTCTCTCCTGTTATTTTCTAGTTTATTCTGTAAACTCGGAGCTCTAGCCAGACGCAGAATCTCTCTGTTTGGTAAGGGTTGGTGTCTTTTTCTTCATACCCTTTTGTGTCTTTCTTTTTTGTTTGCAATAAAAATCTGCTTGATTATTTATCTAGAAACACTTTTAATTTAGAGGCACTTGGTATTCATCTCATGCACTCTCAGCATTATCCACAGCCATTGTTCACTCACCCCAGTCTTGTAGTGCTGAGGGGAATGCTTACATACCTCATTAATTTTATTAACCCACCCTCCCTTGAAAACATAAATCAGGAGCTGGTGCTTTTTACTGGCTGGATTACATTGAGCTCAATGCCATGTTTCCTCTTAGGAAATGATGCCCTTGCTTTGGTGAGCTGCCTACAAATCCTGGCACAGTCCCTGGATGGAAGGTAGTTAATGCTACACTGCATGTTCAGTGCCGTGATATAGTAGACATTGTGAAATTATTTGTAGGTCCTTCACTGTGAGGGACCTTTTTGTCTACTGATCATTTGTGACTCTGGACCACAAAACCAGTCATAAGGGTCAATTTTTTTGAAATTGGATAGGACAATATTTGGCCGAGATACAACTATTTGAAAATCTGGAATCTGAGGGTGCAAAAACATCAAAATATTGAGAAAATCACTTTTAAAATTGTCCAAATGAAGTCCTTAGCAATGCATATTACTAATCAAAAATTCAGTTTTGGTATATTTACGGTAGGAATATTACAAAATATCTTCATGGAAAATGAGCTTTATTTAATATCCTAGTGATTTTTTGCATAAAAAAAAGTATAATTTTGACCCAGACAATGTATTGTTGGCTTTTGCTACAAATATACCCCAGCGACTTAAGACTGGTTTTGTGGTCCAGGGTCACATTTGAGAAATCAGTGAATGATTAGTGAAGTTAATACAACAAATAAACAGTAAATTGTGTAATGTTTAAACATGGAATAACAGATTTAAAAATCAGAATTAAAAAGTAAAAAATAATCAATTGATAAAAACAGGCAAAAATTTATATTTTATACTTTGTATTTAACAAAATACTAAAATATATACAAATACATTTAAACTATTCCAGCTAAATATTCAGAGGCAACTAAAACTAAGCCATTCATCCCATTGATGGCAGTTTGGAGGAAATATTCTGGAAAACCAGTTAGAAACTGGTTATTACTTATTAGTTTTTCATTTTAAAACGTTTCATTTTGGTGAATTGTTGCAGAAATTATAAACTTCTACTTAAAAGTGGAGATTTCAATGTAGCTATATATATATATACAGTGGGGCAAAAAAGTATTTAGTCAGCCACCAATTGTGCAAGTTCTCCCACTTAAAAAGATGAGAGAGGCCTGTAATTTTCATCATAGGTATACCTCAACTATGAGAGACAAAATGAGAAAAAAAAATCCAGAAAATCACATTGTAGGATTTTTAAAGAATTAATTGGTAAATTCCTCGGTAAAATAAGTATTTGGTCACCTACAAACAAGAAAGATTTCTGGCTCTCACAGACCTGTAACTTCTTATTT